ACCTAGCACCCACATCAGTACTCGTAGTTAGATGGCAATCTTGAGCATACCTGTCCCTCAAAGGTATCCTGGGGATCGACGTCCATGAGTGTGGCTGCAACGACCTCGTCTTCCTCCTCCGCGGCAACATCTGGTCCCGGTTCCTCATCCTCATCTGAAGACGAGCCTTGCCGTTCAAAGCGTTTCGACAGACGTCGAAACTTCTTGTCAAGCTTGGCCTCTTCCTCTTCGTCGTCGTCCGCTTCGCTCTGCTTCTCGTTGTCGGAATCCTCTTCCTCGCTATCCGAGGGCAATTCCTCGAGGATGCTCTTCCTAGGTGCTGGGCCCCGTAGCAATGCATCCACGTCCACCTGAGATAAGTCGGGACCAGGCTCCTCTTCCTCGTCGCTCTCCTCGTCACTCGATGAGCTTTCGTCGCTGCTGCCTTCACCGCGTCTCTCAACGGTGACTTCATCTACGTCAGATCCCGCAGGCGGTCGCGGGGGGGAAGAGCCCTGGACATCACGCAGCAGTCGGGAAGCAAGACTCGGCGGAGGCCGGGGAGAGCTAGGCCGGCCAAAGACAGTCGGAGCGACAGGGACTACCGCTCGTTTCGTCGAGCTTTTTGCACGCTCATCAGCAGCGGCCGATTTGAGAACAGGAGCAGCATCAAGCGGAACAGGCATGTTCGACTCAGCAGTAGGTCCGCTAGCAGAGTCCACGTCCATATTGCTAGCTTCAGCCGAGACGGCCTTTCCCTTGCGCTGCCGCTTCGAGGGCTGCGGTTCAACAGCAGTCACAGATGTTCCCGCAGGCGAAGCAGGCTCCGCATCATCAGCTGCCGCCGTGTCAGCAGTGTCTATGGGCTTGAGGTCGGCGGGCTTCTCCTTCGCCTTCTCCTTCCGGTGTTTCTTGGGCTTTACTGGCGCTTCCTGAGCCTCTTCTTGTATAACCTCTGGTACAGGGTCAGGTATGCTGGGTTGCTGAGCTACCGTTGATTGGGCAGGAGTGCCAGCGTGTTGTCTGCGCATGACGGCTAAAATGGCAGCTTGCACGGCCTTCATGTTGTCCGACGGCTTGTCATCATCTAAGAGAACGAGATGAGCGATCTATTCGTTCAAAACGCGCAAATGTGTTACCATCCGCCTGTGTTGACGGCGGAGCTACAGCAGTGACGTTCGTGGCTGAGTCGTCGCCTTTGCGCTTCTTGCTCTTAGGTTTCGCGACAGCCGTGGGCTCCGTTGCAGGAGCGGCCGGCTCTGTGGACGCTGAAGGAAGGTGTCTCAATTGTTAGCTCTCTGTGTACCTCCTGCTGTCCAACTGCATACCGTCCTCTACGACCGCTGTACTTGCTTTCTTCGACTTGGACTTACGTTTCTCTGCAAGGACATAGGATCAGTCACGTCGAGAAAGCTATATCATATAGCCGTCCCACTTACCTTTGCTGGTCGACGTAGAGTCTAAACGAGATGGCCCTGCCATAGGATCTACAGATGCTATCAGATAGACATACATGGATGAACGATCGTACCAACCTTCCTGCGCATGACTGGCATCCATCTTTGACGTAGAGGAGCCAGGAACATTAGCATCACCTGCTGCTACAGCAGGCTTATCGGCCTTCTTGGATCGGGCAAGTATGACGGCCATAGCGTTAGCTACTGCCTCCGCAGTATCCATAGGCTGGTCAGCGACAACAGGAGGAACGGCAGGTTCGGCCTCTGGAGGAGCAGCCGCGCTCTCGTCTTCTCCTCGCTTCTTCTTGCTCTTCTTCTTTGGCTTCGTCTCCGTGGCCGGCGGTACGCTGTCTGCGGCGACGGTCTCAGGAACGGTCTCCGAGACGGTTGGGTCATCCGCTTGCTCGACCTTTTCTGGCCGCGCCTTCTTGGACCGTTTAGGCGGCTCGGAGGATGGTGCCACCTCGGTCTGCTCATGCTCAGTAGCCTCGTCTCGCCTGCTCTCAGCTTTCTTCCCCTTCTTGCTCTTCGTCTTTGGAACATTAGCTTCAACATCCTTTGTCTTGACGGGCGGAGTTGATTCCGATGGAGGTTGAGGCTGATCAGGCACGACTACCTCGCTCGGCACCTTCTCTTTCTTACGCTTCTTGATGGGAGAATCGCCAGGCGGAGCATCCGGTGTTTCCGTAGTCAAACCACCAGTATCTGCAGAGGGACCAGGTTGCGGCGTGGGCATCACAGGCTTGGGTATTTGCCTGCGTTTCCACAGTTTATGCTTGACCATGACAGCGGTCGATGGCTCAGCATCGTCCATCGGTGTCTCGGGAGGTACTGGAGGGGGTAAGGGATGGTCAATGGGAGAGTTTGAAGGACCAGCAGCGTCGGCGTCAGTAAGAACTGTTGGGTCCACAACACTCTTTCGTTTTCGCTTCTTCTTGAGCAAGTCGCGATGCATTCTGGACCCCGCTTCAGGGCGCACTGCGTCCAGTGACACACCAGAAGGATCGACATCCTCATTGGGATGTGTGCGCGCAGGACCAGAACCCGAAGCCAGCGAATCGGGAGTGGCTGAGCGAGTCTGTCAGTAGACTGGTGATGTAAAGCGTAGTCAGAAACATACGAGGGACATAACTTGGGGGCGGGTTCGAAGCGGAACGATCCACTAGGTCCTGTATGCTCGAGTCTCTGAACTTCTGCTTCTTCTGCTTCTTCCGGGGGCGTTCGACCTCGAAGTCATGCGGACCCGCTGTCTCAACATTCGGAAGCGCTGACACGGCGCCATCACCAGTATGAGTTGCTGGAGGGATGGTCTCATTTGGCTTCATCAGAGAACCAGCCATGTAGGAAGTTGACGCGATAGGGCCATCCCCAGGTGAAGGCGCCATCGAAGTTCGCTTCCTCTTGCGTTTACGCACCCCAGTCTACAGACGCTTAGAATCACCGTACGGTATGAAAGAATATACCCTCACCAGAACGCTAGTGGACTCCGGTTGAGGGTGGCCACTGAGCACGCTAGTGGCCGGTTGAGCATGGCTAATGGATGTTCCAGCACCGACGGATGAGCTACCGACGCTCACAGAGACTTCTGCTGCGGTCTTCGAGCGTGTAGCAATACGAAATGCGTCGAAGTCATCGTCTGCGAATACCTGTTCGGGAGACGAGCGGCGGGAAGGAACAAGCGCGCTCACCATCGTCCAGATCAATACGTTTCCCATTCTCGATTCGCGCCAGCTGTATTGCCTTATCGGCAGAAAGCTTGAGCTTCTGCCTCACCGCGTCCTTCGTTTGCGATAGGGTGGCATCTCATCCATAACTCTCATCAGACCTTTGAGCAGTTGTTCAATGCGACTTTATACTCACCTCGGAAGATCCTCTGAAAGGTCCGCCCTCCGGGCGCGTAGAACGTGATCAAAGGCCCTGGCTGCCTTCCGTTCGCCATCGCCGCCGATGTCTAGAAGATGCGAGCGTGATGTGGGACACGTCCAACGTGCAAACGGACGCGTTCAACTTGAACGTAAAGCCACAGCCGACGCGAAGGTCGCCTCGGCGAAGATATTTAGCTGCCCGAGGCAAGACGGGGGTGTGTTTCCGCATTTGGGCAGATCCCACAAACCATCACACGCACAAATACTCTCCTCGCTACCTCCTCCAACATGGCCGGACACTACAGTATGTGCTACGACCTGTGTGTCATGTTTCAACGTTCTGAAGTGCTGCACGCTAGGTCCGGGCTTTCACCCGCATCTACCTGGCTTCAAGCACAGGTTCCTCGCGACCACACTCGGCGCGAGCATGTGGTTCTTCATCTTCTACCGTGCCAGGTGCGTCACGCCTATGCACTCCCAGGCGGGGACTGACTTTCTCGCAGGAAGGACGGTGCGAAGCTGTTGGTAAGTGGCCGCAATCTGCGCGTGTGATGCTAACTAACGCTGCGGTAGGGCTTGAGTCACCCGTGGGAGGCACATGGACATGGGCACAATGAAGCCGGTCACCACGAAGAGCACCACTGATAGACGGACCATTGCGCATTATGTGACTAGAGTATGAGAAGACAACATCGGTCTATCTGCTTGCGGAAACATCTATGTGAAGGAGTTGAGCCTAATACGCTGGTGTTGGAACATGCTCGCGACTGCCTGCAACCCTCTGGACAGCAAGGCACATGTGCCATTATTTCCTTCGCTTTCCTCCTGTCTGCCGATAGGTAGGTCGCAATTATTCTTGAAGGACTGCCCTGTGCCCACATTGCAATATCTCTACCGTCATCGTGTCATTCCGACGCTTGGTTGCGGCACCCTCATGCTCGTCAGTATCGAACGATCTGAGGCATTTTCCGCGTGTATACTCTTTGGTCGCTGCTCGCCGCGAATGACCGAAGTTGCATGAGCTTTCCTAGCTCCCCATTCTCAGGTCCGCAATACGTAGGGCGCTGTTCAGACCATTGTTCATCGTAGTCAGTCCATATCTTTTACTGAGCTCTCACAAAATTGGTAAGCACCTCCGATTACAGTCCTTATTTCCTTGGAGCTTTCAAGCTAAGCTTGATACATCATTCAGTACGCAGTCTCAATGCGTTCCCTGAATTGATGTGCATACAATGGCCTGAATTCATGAACGGCTCGCATGTATCTACGTCACTATGTAGCATTTTGTCACGTGCAATATTCAGCGTGTGGGCGCGCAGCGAATCAACGCGGGATGCAGCTGCGACTGTGGACTGAGGGCTCTCTATTCAACACAAGCTTTCTTGGCCCTTGGAACTCTTACCGCACTTGCAATCCGGGCTTGATACTCCTAGGTCTGTATATCCGTTAGTGTTGTTGGCAAATCAGCGCCAGCTTGCCACCTGGCACGCGCCAGGGGTGGCGATTGGTTGGCGATTGGCAAGTGGCAGAGGGGAGGGTGGCGCAACCTGGCGAATCGCCAGGCGCTTATGCATTTTATGGCGACTGGACCGGTGTGGTTGAGTCAAAACCAAGCCATCGAGGTTCAGTGTTGGTAAGAGGTACTTGAAAAGTGTCTGTGAAGATGAGTACGGGGGTGTCATCGGCCTGCCCATTCCTGGTCCGACTCTCTGAGGGGCAGAATCAGCTACACTATTACCGCATTTGGCAATCGGAAGTGCGTATTTAACCTGGTGCTCGCCTTTAACTGACGCGGACATTAATGACGATGAGCCTCACGGGGGCTAACGTTAACTTAACCCGGGAGTATCGCTACACTTGCGGCCTTCAATGGTTCCAGAATGACCAACATAGGTGGCCAGCGAAGAATTGCTGTTCGCGAGTAGTCCTCCGTAGCAGACCTAAAAGACCGGTTCGCCAGTGCGGAAGTGGTGTGTCGCCGTGTTCCCTACATCTAGCCCGCCTTGACAGTCTCAGCTCGAGCTGCAGTGTGTGCAATTGTATGCCATTGAGTCAACATTTCAGCACCGAGCCACCAACATGCACGGCAACGTGTGCAACCATCCGTCAGACTGCAATTACACGAAGTTCCAGTCAAGCCTGGTCATTAACTTGAATGCAAATGCACTCCGAGTCGTCGAGACCCGAGACCCGATTTGCTGCCCCGGCGGATGGCCGCCAGCCACTACCTGCTGTCTCGTCGAGGCCTACTCACATCCTATAGGCTGCATGTCATTCTCCCAGTGTCCTGCTTGTACCCTGCAGTGCTAAACATCCTCGGGGACCTACAAGCAGCGGCACAAGCTCGAAATTGAGCACAAAACGCCAAAAACACATCAAAAAGCCCATTTGCCAGTTGCGCCACAATCGCCAGCGCGCGCCACCCCCCGAAAACCCATTCCCAAGCGCCATTTGCCGGCAATTGGGTCCATTCCCATTTGCCATCAGCACTAATATCCGTATGACGAGGTAGACGAGTCAAAGGCACCTACTCTCCAATTCTCTTGATCAACGGAACGTCTCATGGATCGACCATCAAGTGCTGCTCGTCGGCGGACGTTCGACCTTCCCTCCAAGCCAGAGACCGGATTGGCAGAATGGACAAGCAAGATCAAAGAGCTACAACGGCAGGTCGACCAGGACGAGGAGACGGAACATAAGCGACTTGAGGAGGAGATCCGGGCATCCAGGATGGCTCGTCTGCGTAGGAGCGGTCAAATCGGGAGCGTCGACCTATGTGAGTGTTCATTGGCATTATATAATAGCAAGTGAACAGATAGGCTTTGTCCGACAGCTAAGAGCGACCTGTCCAGTGTGGCCTCATCGCCCGCGCCGGACAGCCCAGCGAGCCCGGCTGGAAGGCAGCAGGGTCAAGAAGACGCCTTACGGAGACTGACTGGCGAGGCACGGCCATCCACAACGGAGCCTGTGAAATCCGTCTCCTCCAAGGCCCCCATGTCGCTCGCGGAATTCATGGGAGGTCGTGCGACTGGTCCGCGACTTACGCGGCATGCACCCCAACAGGATGCCCATGACCCGACTCAGTTTGAGCAGCGTACGCTCAGGAATATCACCACCCCTCATCCGGTCTTTGGCCGTGGCGGCGTCGCTATGCCTGGCATGACAGGCAGAAATCGCACACCCGCGCCATCTACGCCGGAGCCGGAGGAGCGAGCGAGGCTAGCCTCGGTGGCCAACCATATCACTGGACGGGACCGCAAACAGAGTACGCCCTCCGTCGTGCAGTCGATCGTACACAAAGTCGAAGTGGAGACAGTAGCGCCGCAGAAGACCGGAGCCTCAACCGCTTCTTCTTACACGATGCGACAGCGTACAATCAGTACACCGACTGGTAGCGCCCCCTAATAAGCGCACCTCCGACTCGTACATGGGAGACCACGGTACAGCACAACAACGGCGCTACATCCCGGCCAGTGTCAATTTCCCCTGGCCTACGTTCAGCAACACCTGGACAGGACCGTCACACACCCGCGAGGCCTATACAAACCCCACCACCTGTATCTTCATCCTCCATATTGCGTCCTTCGAGTTCTTCTCGCAGCCCTGCCCAACTTCTCCAACCACCTCATCCTCCCCGAAAGCAACCATAAGCACGCCATCCCTGGCGAGACCAATCCAACCGTCACCGCGCGCTTCTCTCGGACCTCAGCTCCCAATCTCCCTAAATCCTTCGCCTGCGTTCCTTCGTGCACCTCCACCTAAAGACCCCACGCCGAGTATCAGCCGTCTGCAAGGACGCGGCTTCGTCAAGAGCATGGTACAAGCGACCGCTCAACTTTCAGTTGTAGCGCCTCCCACCCCACCCCTGCCAGAGAAGAAGGATTCCGGAGGGCGAAAGTCAGCGCCTGTTCTAGACCGATGGCAGAACACCGGAACCACGAGCTCGACGCCATCTCCTCCGCCAATTATCTCTCCTCGGCCCGCTGCGATGCGCAAGTCGTGGACGGTTGACCCGTCTTCTCCGGATACGACGCCCCCGCGCTCGGTGAAGACGGACTACACGGGCAGGTCGCTCAGTCCGTTCCTCTGTCCCCTCCTTCCACCACTCAGACGCAGCATCGTCTTCAGCCAGGAGCGATGCGGGCGACGGCTCTCCGCGCGGGCGAGGCTCGGGTCGTCCACGACGATGATCTCGTACATCAAGCCCATCAAGACGGGCGACAGACCGATGACGGCGTCGCCGCCTCCTCCAGAGGTGGTGGACGAGATGGGCGTGCGGGTGCGTACGCGCAGCAAGAGCCAGCATCGCTCGCGGAGCCGGCACCGCTCGAAGAGCAGAGAGGCGCCGCGCGAGGAGCGGGAGGGCGGGGGAGCATCTGCGGGGCTTCCGCCAGCGGGCAACCACTCAGTCATGTAGGTCCCCTTTGGTAATGACATTGTTTGCTTGCTTCTGTTGGGGCACGCGTGATTAGGGCTGCAGTTCCTTCGGTTTGCTGCCTGAGCTGGACTTGCGCTAATGCTGTGTGTTCTCTCTCTCAGCTGACGAAGGACAGGGCGAAGAAGCCTCGGAAGGCGAGGTTTGCGCAGACCCTGTCCAGGAGACTCGTGTAGTCTCTTCTTCAGCAGCTTCTGCTGAGGTGAAGCAGACCTCGCAGCCAGAGCCGGCGCCGCTCTCTCACCTTATCTCGACTGCACCGGCCCCGGAGGTTGTGGTCTCTCTTCCGTCGTCGGACCATGCACCGACTTCGCAGCAGGAGCAAAAGCCTGTTTCGCCGCTGAAGAGCAGGTTCGAGGATGACTTTGTCCCTTCAGCGTCCCCGCCGGTGGCAAACAAGCCTAGCCAGCTCAGCCAGCTAGTGATGCCGAAGTCGCTGGTGGCTCCTACGCAAAGCATCGCTTCCCCTGTCACGCCTAACCGTGGCTTGACCCCATCGCCGACCTCACAGCAAGCGAAGGAGAAGCCTCCGGCGTCCTCCGGACGTCACACTCGTATTCCGAGCACTGGAAACCGGGCACTAGTCATGGATGTCGCGCAGGCCCTCGCAGTGCAGACCGCCCTTGAACAGAGGCAGCCGCGAGAGGAGCAGGAGGCTGAAGTACCTCCACCGCCGGACGTCAAGATCGTCGCGGCGAACTGGGGACCCAGGAACGGGACTGCCAGGGCCGACGCTGATAAGCGGAAATCTAGCTACGAGAGATACTCGGCGATCATGATGCCCCCGCTAGAGGAGGAAAAGACACCTACACCTTCGCCGGCTGGGACACTTGCTCGTTCGTCTGTCCCTGTGGTGCCAGACGTCATCCCTGAAACAGAGCAAGAGGTCGCGCCTCCTGCAGTAGAAGGGCCTGCAGAGTCTTCAGCGTCGTTGGCAGAGGTCGTGTCAGAACCAGCAGCGCCCGCTGAAAGCAAGATCATCCACATTGGTTTGTCTTCATTCATAAATTTCGCGCTCTCATAAGGCTGATTATGGCTGCTATCAGAATCTGTCGACGAGCCATTGCCTAATATCGATGTCGCCGCGCTGCTCAACTCAGGCTGCAGTCCGTACTCGCCGGATGCAGATGTGCAGACGATTTCGGTCGATGTCATGATTATCGTGGGGAACGTGGCGACCGCCATTCCTCGTGACACTTACATCTTCTACGACCACGACGTTTTGGCTATCATACATCGCGCTAAAGTGCGGTCTACCGGTCTCGTCTCAACAAAGGTGTGGGGATGGAAAGGGAAGCACGGCCGCCTCGGGGAACGAGAGGAGCAAAAGCTTCAGGGACTTGCGCGACAATACGGGACGAAAATGGTAAGAGAAGTCCTTGATTGTGAAGACAGAACTTCAAATGATTGCGTTGCCCGAACATAGGTCAGGATCCAGCAATATTGTGAACCCACGGAGCTAGTAGCGGTCCTGGGCGGGAAGCTTGCTATTCGTCAGGTATGTGTCTACCGCTGTGTAGGTGCCTCTTACTAAACCGTACGTAGGGTTCGCGGTCGCACTGGTCTCCCGAGAATACCGCCATGCATCTCGTTCGGTCCCTGAATGGGGTAACCTTCATAGACGAGGTCGACATAGTGAGTGCATCGAGACTAAAGCATATGCATGCACCTTCTCAACCGATATCATCAGGGCATCCGGAACCTATGCTCAGCGTTCAGCTATTGCTTGTCCCTCCTGGGATCGTTGTATGTCTGGCACGGATGCGGTTCTGCTGACGCTGAGCGCGCGGCCGCTTGTGAATATGCGAGGGCCCTTGCTTCGTCGGCAAGTGTCATTGAACTCGTCGAGGGCGAGTCGGATGCGGATGACGAGATGTTCTGGCTAATCCTTGGCGATGGCGAGTATGCGAAGGCCGATTATTGGAAGTGGAAGGCATCTTCTCCGTCTGTTCACCCACGCATATGGTCAGTAGATGCAACGAAGGAAGATGATGCGGTGCGTCGTCCCTGTTTCTGTTCGGCTATCCCTCTCATACTGCCGTGATATAGATCCAACCTGTCCCTGCATTTGCGGATCACCCAGAATTCCACCACCTTGTTCACCTCGTGGACTGTGTCTGGGAATTCTTCGTCGTCGTCGGCAGTGAAGCTCGTGGCAAACGAAGAGATATCAAACTGGCACTCGCAGTAGCTACGGTACGAGTGGACGTCGCCCTGTGCTGTGCGACCGGGTTCTGAGACATTGATGCAGAAATTGTCTGATATCACGGCCTCATCGAGGCCATTTACCCCAACGGTACATGCATTGATCCTGCCTTCACAACTGCCTACCGACCTCAGGCTTCACTTCCGAGACCTTGATGAGGCTGCTGTGGTACGTTGTTCCCTAGCAGTCATGGCTTGATGACGCTCATCCGTTGTCAGAATGCCGGACATATACCAGAGCATATGAATCTCCTCGCTGCAGGGGATGCAGAGGAACATGTACGTTAGGATTTCGTTACTTGAACGTCTATCTGATCGCGATATCGTTCTTTTTATAGCTGAAGACAACTACATGGGAAAGGGCTATCACGAAAGACCCCTCTATGTTGCCCTTGGGCGTACACGTTTCGGATCTGAGGTGATCTGATTCACTATTTCAGGAACACTATCTCCATCTCGCACCACTCGCTTTATATACCTCCGCTGGACTAACCAAGCTATGCTTATGTGGAATGCTATCTAACGCAGTTCTCGTGCTTCATCCTTCAGCTATGTTGTTTGACTCCCGGAATTGCTCATGCTCCAGTCCCAGTTGAACACTTGATTTCAGAGCAAACGCGTGGACGTTCGATTCAAGTTCGCATTGACTTCCTCCGAGAGATTGACCCGTGATACCATGAGGAGGACTCATGACCGTGTTCAATGCACGAACCTTGTAGCTGCTCACAGCGTGACCACTTCGCCCACGATGGTGGTATTCAATCGCGGGGATAGCGGGGCTCTCTTGCACGTTCAATGAGACCATGGTCCAATACAGGAATGTAAGCGTGCCGTTTTTATCGGTAGCAGTCTCAGCTGACGCCTCGGCCCTCACCGGCCTCAAGCTCAAGGTGACAGCTTCACTGATTCACCAGCCCATACCTGAAGGTAATCTTGCCTTATCGCGTACCACCTTTGCTTGCAAAACATACGGTGCTTTCTCGTGGGAGATTTGGATGCAGTCTTTCGACTCTTCTAATCGGCCCTGGGACGTAAGGCATGGTCCATAAAACCTTGATAAAACCTGCAATGACTTCGCACTCGAAGGCGTGGACGGGGTCAAGATGGTTTGCCTTCCCCACTCTGTGCTCGTCGTACTGAGCGCCTCCTTGGCTCTAGACGTTTTCGCCCATCCCCTCGTCGACGATGTGACAGCCGAACTTGAAGTGCGCGAGTTGAGCGGACGAACTGGGACCGCACTTCCCGCGCCGTTTTGTTTTCCTGACCTTGGGTTTGTGATGCCGCCGGTACTGCCCCCGGACAACACCATTTGGTGGTGCGATCCTAGCACCGAGTACGCGTTTGTCGGCTTCAGCTATGAGGTCACTGCATGTAAGTCCGCTATGTTGGGTGTGATCACTTAGTTTCTTATCTTGGCTTGGACAGGTCAAACTCCCGAACAACTGCACCGGGAATTTGCCGACATTCGCTATCACTTCAATTCTCGCTACGTCCGACTGTATGGGGCGTGCGATAGGGAGGGCTTCTAGTGAGTCTTTCACGATCATCACTGACCTCGAGAGTCAAATATAGTGTTTAGTGATGATATCGTCAATGCTGCATGGGATAATGGCCTGGGAGTACATGCTCTCGTCTGGGTGTGTTTCATCTACCCCGCGCCAGTCACACACTAACCCGGGAACTCAGTTTGGTTTCGACGGGAGTGACATCTGGATAACACGCCGCAACACCCTCTTCGCCTCGCTACATGCGAATCCTAAGGCGAAGTTCATCACCCGCGGCGTCCAATTTGGGTCGGAGCCGCTGTACGACAACGTTCTCCCTCACCAGCAACTCGCGGAACAAGTCATCCTCGCGAAGGCAAACTTATCGAGCCTCAACATTCCTGTCACTGTCAGTGAACTTGCGTATGGATATCAAGAGCGCGGCGGTGCACAGGATGTGCTCGATGCGATTGACTTCATCAACATTCACATGTTACCCTTCTTCGACCAGGATGCGTCAACGGGTGAGTGTCCTTGAGAGTCTCGTATGCTCGTTGAATGCCCGACATTGAGCCATCTCATCCAGCGAACGCATCCTGGCCAATTGTGATCGACAAGAACCTAGATTTCTTCATTGAGAACGGGAACGGAAAGAAGATGTATTGGGACGAGGTCAGTCAATCAAGATTTGTGATTGATGCATTCTTGAAAATTCATGCCTCTGCAAAGAACGGCTGGCCATCGGTGACGTCGCCGAATGTCCAGCCCAACAGTCCATACGCAGTTTCAAACATACCAAATGAACACGTACGTCCCGCACAATCTACTGCCCAGCGGTTGGTCGTTTGTGGTGTACTGATTCGTACCACTCCAGGCATACTTCGAGCTCCTCGACTCCAAGTGCGAATACTTGAAGACCGTTGTGGGTGGTGGCGTGGGATGGTTCGCTCACATATATTCGGACAATATGGAGCCAGGATACGGGATCTACAACAGCTCGGGGCACATGAAGTTCCCATTCCACCCACGAACGGAGTGCTAGCACTTTTGAATGGTGAGTTGGGTCGCCTCAAGGTGAAGTATCGTTGGGCTTCCATTGTATATTGTGCTATCACATGTTCTTGCTCAGTCTACACCGCGGCTCGGTAGATGTATCTGTTCATCACGGGTGAGTGCGCTCACCGAAATGCTCGCGGCATCAAACACCGGCGCCGCATTGCACCTCTTGATGTCGATACTGAGAGGTGAAGAGGCCATCCCTTCTTGACCTCGCACCACCATCATCTCCCTTTAGCGCCCGCGCTATCGGCACCCATCTGCCCTTTCTCTCGCCCGTCCCATCCTCACTCAGTGTCAAGACTCGCCCAACTCGACCCCCACACTCCTTTCTTCCCTATATCGACCAACTCGATAACGAATCGGGACCGCGGACGACCTCAAAAAACCGATCGCGGGTTGCAGACCCGATCCCCTTCCTGTCCCATCGATCCCGCTCCCGCTACGCCAGGCCTGAGCTTGCCCCTCGCTACACGAAAACTGCCACTGCTGGGGAGGAGGTCTCCGCAATTACACAGCACCCACAGCCAAGCAGGGCGAGGCGCCCTTTGGGCGAGGACTGGATCATGTCGGCGGGCCCCCGACTCGCTTAAAAATCCTTCGACACAAATGATGCCGTTGGGGGGAGTCGTTCTCGGCGCCGCCCTCGTTGGTTGACACCAGCCCTGGGGGTTTTGAGCGTGCTATACATTGGGCTGCAAGCGGCATTGTGAAGGTGGACACGGTGCAGGGGGGGCGGGGGCTCTGGGAGCGCCCTTGGTGATGTGATGGATAAGCGCCTATCATAACTACAGGCGCGCTCAACGCGCCGTCGCGGGGAGATTATGATGGTTAAGTGGCCCACCTTACGGGTCACTGGGGGATGATGAAGACCAGGACGATACCTACGACTGCCCACACCCCGACACGCCTTGGATGCAGGAGGGGCAGGGGCTGGGAGGGTGGTGAGGTCGCAGGGAGGCGGGGTTCTCGGGATCTGGGGATCCATGCCGCAACACGGTCTGCTCACGTCGGACATCCCTTATTATTGTTGCCCCGCATGTACCTACCGTACGGGCCTAAAACATGGAGAATAAAAAAAAAAAAAAAAAAAAAAAAAAAAAAAAGAGAGGTGAAGAGGCGATTAGTAGCCGTAAAGCCCGGGTAAACGTTGTATCAGCAGGTGGGATTTTGCATGCATTCCATGTGTGATGCGCTTGACTTCCGTCAACAGTGTACTAGCGGTCGTTTCCAGTACCGCTGCACGAGACCTTGACGCCTTGGTTGGTACGTGAAACGACTCGAGGATTCAGATGCGGTCCAGGGCGATACAAATGGTATTGCTGACCATGAGCGGCCGGTCTCAGGCTGGGTTTATGTCAGGAAAACATCGTGCTGCTTAGCACGCTTACCGTTATCCGGGGCGCGGCGTGGTCCCTTCCACCTATATGTGGGCTGACTCTCATCATTGCTGAGTACTGATGAGTCCATCTTCCGATTCCAGTGGCCTGCCGCGGGAAGAAAATCAGATCAAAGGTGGGTGCATTGTCTCCCAGTAGTTCTTGACAGCACTTCGCGCTCGTCCTGTAGTGCATAGCATGAGTACGTTGGCAACTTGCTCGCGTGCCAGGGAGTGTTGTACCACCATCGGAGTCGTACTTAACTTTGAACCAACTCAACATTCACTCAGCCGTGGTCGACGAGGAGCGCTCGTGATTCGGGACCAGTGTTGCCCGTGATCGCGCTCGGGTTGTTCAGACGGCGTGCTCTTCAGGCTGAGACCGGCTTTACGCTCCTGGCGTCCTCCGGCCAGTGCACTCCTTGCTCGATCTGCTCTCTACGTGCCCGCATAGTAACGGCCAATGCATCTGAGGCTGAACGTTGCTGAACGTCAATGTCGGAATGTAACGAGAGAGGGAGGCTGACATAGACATCGTCAGCCACACTGCAGTTCTGCTCCTCGGTGAAACCTGCTCAGGCGCATGGCGCAGACACCTCGCAGTGAACCTATGCACGCGGTACTCGTTCTTGGGCAGCGTCCTCCCCGCCTGCTCGCCATCACTTGACTCCCGTCGGGGACCTCCATGGGCCATAAAACGCCGCTGTGCGGGCAGCCCTATGGACAAAGTTGTTACGATCTTCGCCAGGATGGCATTCTTCTCACTCTCCCTGAGCGTATTACTATCTGTATTGAACCTTAGCTACGCCCTGCCACTCTATGGGGATGCCTCGACGAACCTTTTTGAATATGGTGACCTCGGCGGGATTGGAGTCCGTGCATCGTCCTGCTTCCCAGCCCTAGACTTCGAGATGCCATCCTCTGTTCCATCGAGTGTCAATGACTGGTGGTGCGATCCCAGCACGGAATACGCGTTCCTCGGATTCAGCTACGAAGTCACAGCCTGTGAGTGGTCAATGCAGTATGCCCCGCGAACTGATCCGAGCCCGAGACGTCTGCTGCAGGCCAAAGTGCTGACCAGCTCAAGAGGGACTTCGCCGACATTCGCAAGACCTTCAATGGGCGATACGTCCGCCTCTACGGGGCTTGTGATAACGACGGCTTCTAGTAAGACGCTTTTCTTCGCACACTCAAATCAGACGAACTCACCTGGACAACAGCGACGATATCGTGGACGCTGCCTGGGAGAACGATCTAGGCGTGCACGCCCTCATTTGGGTGAGTACACGCCAGTCGGACCAGGATTCGGACACGCGATGACACCACCCGTCCAGTTCGGCTTCGACGGGGACAACAAGTGGAAGACACGCCGCAACAAGCTCTTCGCCTCGCTGCACTCCAACCCAAAGGCACAGTTCGTCACGCGCGGCGTGCAGTTCGGCTCGGAGCCGCTCTTCGACGACATCCTCCCGCACGCGGAACTCGCGGAGCAGGTCGAGCAGGCGAAGACGAACCTCTCCAGTCTGCACATCCCGGTCACTGTCAGTGAGCTGGCATATGGCTACCAGGAGCGCGGGGGCGCCCAGGACGTGCTGGATGCCATCGACTACATCAACATCCATATGTTACCGTTCTTCGACCAGAAGGCCTCGACCGGTGAGACACGACTTCTTACGCACCTTCGTGTGTCCAGGACTGACCAGTGCCGTGCAGCGAATAAGTCATGGCCAATTGTGGAGAAGAACCTCAAGTTCTTCACCAAGAATGGAAGCGGGAAGAAGATGTACCTGGACGAGGTGTGTTCCAGACGGTGACTTGCCTTTCTCCGGATGCGCTGATCATCCTTGCCTGCTCGCAGAACGGTTGGCCTTCCACGACATCGGAAGGTGTACAGCCGAACAGCCCTGACGCAGTAGCGAACGTCGCAAACGAGAAGGTGAGCTCAGATCACTCCATTCGCATCTTACCTCCCATCCATACGAATACTTCTCGGCCATAACTGCGCATGCCATCCGTCTCACCCGCTGCTGTATCTCGGACGTTCGCTTACCTCCTCCGTCCCGACAGGCCTACTACGAGCTGCTGGATTCGCAGTGCTCGTACTTCAAGAACGCGACGGGCGGCGGCATCGGGTGGTTCGCGCACATCTATTCGGAAGATCAGGAGCCCGGGTACGGCATCTACAGCAGCTCCGGCAAGACCAAGTTCTCCTTTAATCCGAAGACGAGCTGCTGATATCCAAGTCAACGATGCGCTCCCACCTACCTCGATGTACTGCACTCCGTCGGAGACGGAGCGCGCTGGTGAGGTGGTCCTCCGACGGCCATCGGACATTCTCCACGCGAGCTTTCAGTAGTGCTGAAGGCGGTACCCCCTTCCTGTCGTTCACTGCGTGTTCCAGGTGTTACATTATTGGGCAATAAAGTTGTTGTATCAGTCACCGTGAGATGATTAAGGTCGCTCGAGACATATGTATCGTCTGCAAATGCATCAGAGCTAGTGAGTGACGGGGCCACTAACACTTGCACGACAGTTGAGGTCGTGTCTCGTGCACCTGCTCCTCCCAATTGAAGGGATCCCGCCGCTCGGGGACAGGTAGGTGACAGCTATCAGAGGAATGACAGACGTGCACAGCCGCGTGCAGCGAGTGACAGTACGCTTCCCCCAGTTCCTGTCTGCTGTGGTCAGAAGCCGCACGATCGCAATCAAGAAGGAAAGAACGAAACTGTGGACGTGAGGCTGTGCCCGAGACGCGGAACTAAATGTACAGGGAGAACAAGCTGTCTTCTGTCAGACTGAAAATCATCATGCACCGCTGGGGCAATCTGCACCAGCCAAGGATTTCAATGATAGAGTTCGGGGGTGGACAATCCTAGGACAGCTCTCCGCACTCCACGCAGCGTACTAAAGATGATATTCAAGAAAAAAAAATAGCAGTCCGATAGGCTGTGCGATGACTAGGCGCTACAATAATAATGGTGTCCAAGGCGAGAGACGAGTGCGAGTCCATGTGTGCATGTCAAAGGTCGATCAAGCGAACAGAGCGAACACGGAGCAGACAGCAACAAGCGACGACATCGCAACCGCGGCCAAAGGCACGGCGGAAACGGAGAACGCACCGCTCGTGCTACTGGAGGCTGCGTTGTTCGCGGTCTGCGTGATCGTTGACGGCTCGGAGCCATCTGGTGCGGAATGTTAGTTGCTGGGAACACGATACCATGGAAGGCTACATACCAGCAAAGCTGGCACCGCACTGGCCGACAACCGTGCCATTGACGGTGCTTGCGACACTCGGATCAGCCTGCGCAACAAGGTTGTACATCGCCTTCGTGCAATCCGTGCAGGTGACATTGCTGCCAAGCTTGATACTACCTTCCTCGATCTCCGACACGACCGATTGGAGGTTATCCTTCGTGATCGTGCCCACCTGCGATTGGATATTGTTCAAAAGCTCGGTGGCGCAGAGTGTCTTGTTGTTCGACGTGCTACAATAGATGCGTCCTGGGTCAGCGCCGGGTGCCACTCCGTGCGAAGGCAGCTCCTTACTCAGCCAAGCACGCGGCCTTGCGCGCAGTAGGGTAGTACTGCTGCACCATCGAGACGAGGTTACTGGTGTCCGACGTGCTGAGGCCTGCCGACTCGAGGTCGCTCGCGCAGCCCGAGGTGACGTTCGTGACGACGTCCGACAGCGTCTGGTTCGAGCACACCGTCTGCGAGCACATCCCAGTGAGCCAGCTGTTGACCGTCGGCACCACAGACGTGTTCTGCGTCGACACGACGAGCCCGACGAGGCTCTGTGCGTTCAAGCATGTCGTCTCGGTGGACGTAACGAGCTGAGCGAGGGTAGATTGACAGCTCGACGAAAGCCTGTCGTGTGGCTCGAGCTTAGTTATATGTGGTCGTCGAGAGAGAATGGTAGGACGCACGACAGAGCCGAGGTAAGATGCGCGCCAGCCGCCATCATCATAGCATACTTAGCGATCTTGGTCGTAGAGAACATATCGGCGAGAAGAGAAAGCAAAAGCGACTGCAAGCAAGGGTAGAAATGTGGGAGCTGAGTGAATGGCAGCCCGGCTGCAGGTGGTGGTCAAGATGAAGGTGAGAGAAAGAAAGGAGCGGTGGGCGGAATTGGGAGCAGCTGACGCGCCTGTGGGCCGTTGCAGTGCTGCCCGCTGTGCCCGCAGCGGATGCCAGCGGATGCCGAGCGCTGCATAGCCGGTTGCCATTCTGGGGCTTCCGAGAGCCACCCCCACATGCCGACGCGAGCGTTGTCTGTCTTCCTTCCTCACGCTTGCCTCGGTGCATGCGCGACCTCGAGCTGTTGGCGGCGATGACTTCGAGGAGAGGGGCGGGAGAGGGGCGGGAGAGGGGGGCTGGAGATGCCCCGCGGGTACGTACGATCCTGATCGGACGCGAGTCGGGTCACGGCAGATTGATGGGCGCCGCCGGATCTGGAATGTTGTGTTGCGACCTGGTCTGGGGCGTCGACTCCGTGTCCGTGTCCCTCTCCTGTGTCCCTGTTCTCCACGCATCCCTCTGTCATTCCTGGCCAAGCGCGGACGAAGGACCATGCTCGGCTGATGGGACCGAGCTGTATGAATCCGCGGCGACGCACGGGTGCCGCTGGCATGCATATGTCCTCGGTGTGTTCCTCGTACCTATTAGAGTCACACTCATAGTTGCCTCATAGGGTCGATATCCCATGGCAAACACTTGGATAGCCGCGATATTGAATGCGAGGGGACGAGGCACCAGGCAAAGTGAAGTGGGTGACCGACAATCATGCACCTGACATGCTTCACTTCTCGGCCCATGTTCCACTCAGGACTTAGCCCCGGACATCGCTGTGCTACGTCGCTCACGCTCGCATGCATCGCAGGGAAGCAGACAGATACCGTGCGTCCTTCCTCCCAAGGATTGGCAGATCCAGCACAGGTTTCCGGCCTCAGTTCGGAACGGACTGCACCGCATGTCAAAGAAGCTTTCACGGGTTTTCACAGGGGCGTATGCATGAATAGAAAATACAACATGTCGTATTACAGCCATGAGGTCAGTCCGGGGCACCACGTACGAACCGTGCCGGAATAATACTACTATGATACAGCCAAGTTAGCAGGACGCGGATCATGTAAGTATATCCAACGCATCCATCCAACCCAATCCAGCGAAATCACCGCGTCCGTCACCTAGATCTTCCAATACTGCACACTCGCGAGCGCACGCTCGAATGGCGACTCGCACCCCCAGATCTCCGCATCGCGATCGCTGTGGATGAGCGCGCTCTGCAGCTCGCTCACGGTCGCCCGGGCCCCGCTCAGGTCCGTCACCCGCCCGCCGGCCAGCTCCTCCTTCGAGCTCTGGATCGCCTGTGTCACGTCGGCGTCGATATGTGCGAGGATGTCCGCGGTGTCCCCGTCCTCCTGCCACCGCATGCCGAGCGTCGCTCGTACCACATGCGTGAGCAGGGAAAGGCTCGCGAGGCCCATGCCTGCGCCGTATAGCGAGCGTGCACGGCGGAGCACGGTGGCGAGCTCGGGCGTGGGATGTGAGAAGCCGTCGGAAGACCTGGAGAAGAGCTGTGTCGAGGGGCTGAGCTGTTTCGCGTTCATTTTGTCCAGTCGTCTCCGCGCAGTGTCGTGGAAGGCGGCGGTGACGCTTGGTGGGTTTGTCGCCAGGAATGAGCGAATGACCGCTCGCATGCTGGCACTTGCTGTAAGCGGGTGCAGGTGAGTAGACACGAGCGGTGCTCACTCGTCGATATCAGCATTGGCGATGAAGCTATCCATCATGAGGTTGCTGTGCGTACATCGTCAGCATAGGGTTTGTCATGATCACTGTGCACTACATACACATGCCCAAGGACGGGGCGGGAGTCGTGGACGGTCTCTAAAGCAGGCATGCTGGAGGGGAGAAGGGAGTATCGGTGGCGTCGAGGAGGAAAGGCTACTCAGAGGGCTGTGTGCAATGTCAGCTATCATGGCGCAGAGAGAAACTTATATCCTCAGCCCGGCGTTGTACTGTGATCCGAGCAGTCAATCCGTCGCGCCGAGCATTAATCCCAAGCAGTGGTGGCCCCCTCGGTGACCGCATCTGACTCTGGCATCTGCGCCATGCACAAACTCCGATCTGCCAGTGAACTCGCCATCCTCGCATCTCCCCCTCATGCATCCAAGGGATTGTGACAGCGACGTGACATACGTACTATCACAGTCGTCGTCCGGGACTTGCTGACATGCGGGCTGTGACTTATGCTGAGGGCGCGGACGCGTCTGTGGCGGACACGCGCAGCCTGGGACCGGAGCGGCTACCCAATCAGTGTGCGGGTGGCTGGCGGAATTGGATCTGCGAACTTCTCCGCAAATCGCTCCGATCAGCATCTTCGTGCCCCGCCGTGCCGCCACCCGATCGGGCCGTTCGTGCAGTTCCTCTTTCACCCTCTCGTAACGGACCCGGGCTCCAAGCGCGCGGCACAACCGTCTTATCCAGGCTCAACCGTCATGCAGCGGGATAAACCCACTCGACTTGACCGACATTGGCTTTATTGCGTGCCAGCGTCCTTTCTCAAACACGCTTAGCCTCGGTCGCGGGACGGTGCTGATCAAGCCAACCGGGTTAGCACTGACCGCACTTGGACCGCACCGCGCCGTACATTCAACCACGGTGAACATGAAAGTCGGCGAACACGTATGTAAGACCTCAGACGAATGTGGCGTCTAGGGCGCATCACTACGACGCATTACACTCACGTTACGAAGCCCTATCATATCACAGCATCGCGTCTGAACAACTTGTTCATGACTCGCGAAGTTGATCAACGGTCGACTAGGCGGGGCGCATATTCGGTATCTGAGGACTGCATGAATGACCATCCGCAGCAGCTGTCCGCGCAGATCGCAATGCAGCAGCAAACGCGGCGGCACGGTCTTCAAATTAGTAGGCTCGCGCGCGGGAGAATAAGTTGAAGTACCGGGGTTCCCTCGGTGGTACGTACGTCGTTCCGTGGTTGGATGTTCTGGGCTGCCTCCGAAAGGTATGTACAATCTTCCGAGACGGAAGAAAGTGCACCAACGTATCGGTTGGCTGCCGTTGGTAATTAGCTTACCTGTGTCATGTGGTGGAACACCCGGCGGGAGCCTGTAGAGTACTTCGTAGAACGGTACTTGTTCAAGGTTAACTAGTACCGGGACATAGAGTTAAGGTATTTCTGGTTGATGTGTGCATCTTCGTCATTTGCGCCATGCTGTGTTCTTCGTATTGAACTGCGTGATTGACGAACATATCTCTGTAGAACATGGATGGGAGAAGGATATGACTCATCAGGAATGATGAGACAACAGCGTGTGAGCCCTTTCGAGCCTCTGTCACGCTGGAGGCACAGGGAGCCATTGATGACCGACACCAATACGTCGCAACCCTACACAGGCGCCACGCCACCACCGGGTGGCCGCCTCCGTATCGACGAGGCCCCTGAGGAGCTCAAATAAGCAAACGAGACATGTGTAGAACATATTGGCGGGTGTTAGAAAGAGACAAGGAAAGATTTCCTGCGGAGAATACTACTTGCACGGTGCGAGAAGTGACATGGCAGATCATAGGGCGCCGCTGCCACGACTGTAGATGCGGTGGAGGAAAGGTTCAGACTGTCCAGGACGTTGGTGATGCGACATACCCGGGTTCGGACTGCGTCACGGAACGGTCTCAAAGCTGTCGCCTTCAGGCTCAAAGACGACTCTGTGGCGGCAGATTGACAATCGACCCGTCCGTGTGAGGATCACGATGCGTGCCGCTGTCGTTGGACTGTCACCGGGGCGGTGAAACTGTACCAGCTGCGCGTGTGCCAAGTACGTGTATGTGGCAGCGCCCATGCGTCGTATGTCGCATTCCTTGCACATATCCTCGGGACGTCCGTTGCAAGAACATAGCGGTGCTCGTAGAAAATGCGCCAGCGGTAGTATGACCGCGAGAAAGCAGACCGTGCCTGAATGAAAGTTTTGAATGACATTGAAAGGCGCACGCGAGGGGCAAGATCTTGGGCTACAGATCGGGAGAAGCATCGGCCTCCAATCTGATGACCGCCTGGCCAGCGCCTCGGCGGAACCACGTCGCGGTCCTGTCAAAAGCCGGATGTCCCCGGCAATTGAGGTCTTGAAAACCGAGATCTGAATCCAGACATGAAGCTTTGAAGCTTTACTTGGGCAGACATTCCGGAGCACCTGTCCTATCCCAATTGGCGCAGCTGTGTCTAATCTACCCCTAATTTACAGCACAGGATAGTTCTGGTCGCATATCGTCCGCAATATCTCTGGCGAAAGTTACTGGGGCTCCGGATCTGATCCCTCCGCTCCGGAGGTCTCCCACCGCCCCCGGTAAGGGCACAGTCTTCGTCGCATCGACACATCGCCGGACCATCTCCTTTCCATCTTTTGCTGGTATACGTATTGAGTCGGCCGTCCAGAGTACATATAGCCACATATATAACCAGTGTCGGAGTCGGTACCGAAACTCCCCTACCCCCCTCCCGTTTTATTAATCTCTTTCCTGCCTTGCAGAGAAGTATGACCACAGACATCTCATTGGAGACCTTTCAGCTAGGCCCCTTTAGGGTACCCAGGCTCTTCACAGGCCTGTGGCAGCTGTCCAGCAATGCCTGGGGCAGCGCCTCTACTCCCAAGATACGCAGCCAAATGGCGCAGTACGCGGAAGCAGGATACACCGCCTTTGGTATGTACCGCTTGCACTACGTGTTATTTGTGCGATCTGACAAATTACACAAATATAGACATGGTACGCAGCCATTGTAATCGTTGCATGGACCCTCCTCACCGTATATGGCTGCTCTCATGTGGCGCCTTAGGGTATGCATCCATTTGTATCAGCCTTGTTCTGATACTCAGCAGACTTGGCCGGTTCACAGCTGACCACTATGGCAGTGCAGAGATTATCTTTGTAAGTACCGTTTCTGCACCTATCTACAGCCGCAGCGAACAATTGTGTGTCTGTGACATTGCAGGGACAATTCAGAAGGAACTTCCGCGCACCGGGAAGTATCATGGGCGGTACCAAGTGGTGTGTATTCCGCAAGACAGATCCGACACGGGCGGTCGTCGAGGCCGCCGTGCAAGAACGTTTAGACCGCATGCAGTCCCAGCGTGTCGACCTCCTACAGGTACGTTATTTTCCTGGCACCCCGGCGGACTGACAGGTGACACCGGCGCCTCGTTCCCAGTTTCATTGGCAGGACTACAGCGACAAGGGCTACCTGACCGCCCTGCGGCATCTCCAGGACCTCCAGCGCGAAGGCAGGATCGTGACCCTTGGGCTATGCAATTTTGACGCGATCAGGACGGACGAGATTTGCACAGAGCTCGGGCCCGGCGCGATTGTGTCGAATCAAGTTCAGGTGCCGCCTCTTTCGCGCTGCCGCCGCAACTGTCAGTGTAGTCGCTAACGGTCACTCTTTCTGATAGTTTTCCTTGATTGATACTAGGCCCTTGCATGGGATGGCAGACGTCTGCGAACGGCACCATGTCAAGCTTCTCACGTACGGTACTGTGGTGAGTCGCCGCAAGCTTCGCTGTATGCACAGCGCGTACGCAATCTATACAATCCTACCTTCCCACTGCTTCTCGTCTGCTCTGTTCGCCATCTGACGCTGTCGCCTTCAGTGCGGCGGGTTCCTCGCAGACAAATGGCTTGGTCAGCCAGAGCCAGATCTGTACTCCGGCAA